TCCAGTAGTGTCGTTTCCTCTAGAATAAAAAAAGATAATAAAAATAATTTCCTAATTTTCCCCTGATAATCTGTTTAGACTACCTAATGCTCAATAATGTTTGCAAGAGGTTTGCTGCTAAAATTAATCAAAATTCCATTTGCACAGAGCATGATCCCTAGTCTGTCACTTCAGTATGCCACATGAAAATGAACCTCTTATCCTTGAGTTGGCAATTATGAAGGAAATAGTGTTTCCCCCACTCCAAGTTTTCCATGGCTCTCTTATGCAAGAACATTCAGGTCTTCTAAGATACTGTGCTTTTCAGTTTTACAAAAGCTATGACTCACCTTTATCTTTAGCTAAGAAACAACAGTCAAAAATTAAAGTCATTTTTCAGAATATCTCATGTAATAAAAATATACATTTTGTTTTCTTACAATTTTTTTCCAAATTTCTTCACATTCAGCTGCTGGGTACAGTATATCTGACACCTTTAAACTTGTTTTGTATATTAATTAATTCTCTCCTGGCAAATGGAGTGAATATTTGTTACATGTGCATCAAGCTTTGAATATTATATCTTCAATATAATCAATGTTAGGCCCTGATCCTGCAAATATTGAGTAGCTTTGAAGTCAATGGTATTATTTTTGTGAAAAAAGTGCCTAATTATTTGCAGGATTAGGCCCTTCAACATTATAAATTATATGTAGTAAGAGATGTCTCTGTTAACATTCTTTCTTACCAGTGTGTCCTTGCTGGTATAATGAACCATCCATCCCTCTTTCATTACTGTGCTACTTTTCCTTTTTGTGTGCTTGACAGATTGCACCACTCTCATTAGTGGAATATTGTTGCTTGTTGAAGGGCTTAAAAATCAATAAAAGTTTCTTAAAATCAGACAATTTTAGACAAATCAGAAGAAAATTATTTCAAAGCATGACAAAGTATATCTTGTGTCTACAATAACAGTTACTAGCTCACTTGCCAAACAGCAATCTGCCATGGGAATTCTGCAGTGTGAGTGTGTGTGCGCGCGCCTGTGTGGTGTATACCATTTCCCATTTTCAGTAACCACCCAGCTGAGGAATCTGATGAGTCTATTACTGGCTTTGACTTTGAGAAACAAGCACACAACTAAATGTGCCACAACATTTTTCATCCCCATTGGAGAGGTGTGTACTTATAATTCAAGAAGGGATGGGCAAACTATTCAACTGAAACTACAACTAGTATAACTCTGCTTTTAGAAAATAGCAGGAAAAAAGTAAAATCTTGTATTCTAAAAAAAAATTGTGTTTGATTTCATAACCGAACAGACCTATACCAATTTGTTGCTGCTTTGTCTACAAGACCGTTCTACACAGTCCTCTCCCAAATCCTTTAACTGTAGGCAGTGAAGCAGCATCAAGTTATTTGAGAATCCATTCTCTCCATTCTGTAGAATCAGAATATCTGCACATTTTTCACACCTTTGACTCAGTTATAGACACAGTAGGTACAATAAGCTATGGTGTTAAAAATGCTACCTAGCTCACCTGATCATTCTGTTTGAATCATCATGGTCAGGATCGGGATCTTGCATTTCCCCATTGTCACTGTGGCATCCTGTCATTAACATCTCAGAATCATGAGCCATAGATTCATCCATGTCATCAATAAGGCCACTGTTTCTTTCACTGTCATTGTCATCACTTCCCTCTTCCATGACCACATCTGATTCCGCACCAGGACTAAGCAAATCTAGAATATAGTTTTCAGATTTATATAAAAATAGCATGGATAGGTCAAAAATAGCATGGATAGTCCCTACCATGGACTTAGGGAAAGTGCAGGTCCACATCTGATTGCTATAGCCTAGGCCCATTTCTGCTATTTCACTGATCAAGCATCATGTTTAACTTGTTATTGGGAATCATTATTCAGAACCAAAAACCTGTCAAAATGCAATACTTTCAGAATGAAAGTGTGAAATATGATCTTCTGTTAAAACTGTCAAAGTCAAAGCAGGAGTTTTTAAATCTATGAGCCTTTGTTCAAACTCTCTGTACTCATGGGTTTTCAGCCTCTATATTTCCTGGCAGATTTTCTATGCAGCTGGAATGATTGTACAATGCCTGATAGTTGTTGGCAGTCCACAGGTGCAAACTGATGTGTGGTTAGGTTGCAGAGCAGGAATTTCAAACCTAGTAATTTCCTGTTATATGACCATGAGCTATTAAAATAAATTCCCAAAGTAATTATTTACCACAGTACTATATATAAATAAAAGGAAAATATCATTCCCCCCTTTTTCATCACTGCTTTTCCCCTTTGCATAGAAGTTGCAATAAATGGCATGAAAACAGCAGATTGATCTCAACAGTTCCACTATAAGGCAGTTTTGCAAAATGGAATAATCTCAGGATGGATGTGGATTCGCTAGAAATGAAACAAAGACAGGGAGAGGTGAAGTGAAGGCACCAAATTCACCAGTGATTAGGTTCCCCCCTTTCCAGTATTACCATAAGGCACAGATTGCATCTCCCTGGTGCTTGCTAAAACTAGACTCAGTCTCTAGCTGGAGGCAGTTTGATTCTGCTACAGTGTGTGCTCTTTCCACAGTAATTTTAATTTCATATTGTGTTTATATTTGTTTCTCCTAACATGGTGTTGAACTTTCTTCTTCGCTTCAAGATATGAATTGCCGAAGTGAGATCGGAACAAGAAAGAACATATATTATATTCAGCATATCTCTATATATCTTTAGCTCAAACAAATTATTGTAGCTTATTTTAACCCTGATGCTACACAGGTTATCACTGAACCACCCAAAAACCTCTAGTGCTGCCAGGTAGGAAAGACAGCATTAGGTCTTGTGTGGTGTTCCCTTCCTGTTCTTACCATAATAATTTTTCCCACTCAGCCATGTATAGCAATCTGAGACAAGGAAATACCATCTGGAAGACTGCATTCTTAACGACACACTATTTCTATCTATTTTAGAGGTTCCTCTCAAATGCCAGGTTGAAAAGTAAAGTCAGTCTGACAGTAAAGGATGCCCAATGAAAAAAAAAAGAGCATGGAGGTTTTTGCTGTCAATCAGCTTCATACAGATGGTAAGGAGTTGGAAGGGAAGAGAAAGGAGGAGAGGTCCCTCTGGCAGATGATTAGGTGCATTAACTACTCAACTAAGAGGCAAGTTTATCACAGTTTGGATCCTAATAATTTATATGTGGCTGTACAAGGAACATATGGTACTCCATCTCTAACAGATATAACGATACGGCCATGGACAAGACACCGAGGTGTGGGGCTCTGTTTTTACCCCAACACTTAAACATTTGTAATCTTTATGTATAATAAACCCACAAGAAGTTAAAAGAATCTCTCACATTCTGTGTTCAATTTGTTTATTAATGAGACCACACTTTGAATTTCATAGCTCCAGCCTCATTTGCTGTTATGGGGGTGAAGCATCACAGAGCAGATGGGCAACATGACATTCATTAATTAATTTATTGAATTTAGATTTAAAGTATTAGAAAAAGACACTTACCCTAAGCTCCAGTTAAACAACTACTAGGAATGAGATACTAGGATGTAACTTCTTGTTGTAGTGGGGTCCTACATTTCTACATCTAGGATGCAGCACACTGAGTCCCAGTGCTCATTGTTGACTGGTGATGGAGAATTCACTAGATACTGGGGGGAAGCAACATTAAGCAGGACAGGAGCTGCAGATGGCTGAGCCCCGCTTTTGGAGATCTGTACTTGGGGAAGGGAGAACTGGCTTCCTGTCAGCACCTACTATACGCTCTTTGCCTCCTTCCCCAGGAGCAGATTCAGACAAGCTTGCTTCACTCTATCGTTTACACAGAGATAGCACCATGTGCCTGTCATCAGTTTCGCACCGGACACATGTGTAGGAGGAAAGTTAGTGAAAGCAGCATGGTACTTTTCCAAAGGGAAAGGCTGGAGTGACTAGGAAATGGACTGCAACTGTCAGTGAGGGAAGCAGGTGATTTCGGGCAATGATTAAGGAGCAACTAACAGAGTGCCTTGTTCATTCATCCCAGCTCTTGAAAAAGAGCATCTCTTTCCCTGTCTTGTGGTTCAACTTCTTCAAACCTGCATGTCTTATTAGCACTACCCTAGGAATCCCTAGCCAGACAGGAATGCTCTTCATGTTCCCCTCTGACCCCCCACATAACTCTGTGCTCATAGGTAGTTGCACTGTCAAAATAGAAGTTGGGTTGGAAAAGCTGCATAGATGATGTTTTTAAAAACAACTGGAACTTCTCTATAGAGAAGACTCAATAACATTATCAATAAAATAAACATACGAAAAATATACAGCATATTTTTGACACCCAGATTTGAAAACTATGCATTGAAAATTATCCTTACTTGGGCACCATTACTTGATACCCAGACAAAACAGATTTATAGTAAAGGAGTGGTTATGGTGAATTCAGGTAAATATCTTGTCCAAGATTTTAAAAAGTGTCTAGATATTTTGGGTGCCCACTTTATAGGGGCCTGACTACAGAAATTGTTGACCACTGACCTGAAAATACAATAATAATTTGTCTTAAGTAGAGCATCCAAAATCACTAGCCATTTTTTAAACTGTTCAAGCAACAAACATTGACAATTCTGTTATTTATAGTCAGTTTTCCCTAGTTTAACCTCACTTTAAATTCAATATTTGTTTAAGAAGTATTTAGTTTACTTTCAAGATCTTTTTAATGGAGCATGGAATTAAGTTCAACAGAGAAAAACTGTTTAATAAAAACCATGCATAAATGGTATTTAAGTTATATAGGAAAGTTCTAGCTGACAGCTTAAAACATTGCAACATGCATTAGGAAATGTAACACTTGACCACAAATTTACTTCTCTTATCTCATGGAAAATGACATTTTCAAAGTAATCAGCAACTAATCTAAAACCGCCCTCTTTTCCTCCAGTACCGTCTGTCAAGCCTACCCCTACATTCCTGCATTTGACACAAATTTGACACCACATGCAGGGGAAAGTGGGCAGATTTTCAAGCTTTAATTTCTGGCATGCAGCTGATGTAATGAGCATCATGCCAACAGGAAGAGGTAGATTTTTTTCCCCAGAGAACCTTCCCAGTTCTTTCAAGGTGTGCATTTCACCTCAAGAAGATGATTCTAAAATAAACACATGCTCCTTCCCAGACCAAAATATAATTTTGTTTTTGCTCCGATAGGTTAGGTGACCTCTTTTATTGCCAAAGGGTTTGGAAGTATTTTTGGCGTCCATAGACACTGCACAAAATGTATGTATCCACACTCAAAGAAACATTTTATGGCTGTAGTTTGTTCTCTGATCTGCCAATATAGTACTGCTGTACCTTACTACAGGTTCTAAGCATCTTAGAGAACCCTTTTGATGAAGATGAAATACGAATCACCAGTGGATTTCCTCCCACACTTTATCTTCAATACATAAACAGAAATACTAAAAGGCAAAGGCCACACCCCAGATTGCTTCACAAAGCTTTCTTTGTTGGTTTCAACATAGATAGTAACAGTCATTAAAACTACCTACCTCCATTAATGGCTACTTCACCAAGGCAGTTATTTGGCACTTTAGGTGCACAGCGCTTGTGACAATTGAACCTGCAATCTGGTAAGAAAAAAGGAGATAATTTTGTTGAATTCACTTTTTCACTGATACTATAGTTCTACTCTTAAAAGTTACCATCTCTTCCATTTGATTAATGTGAAGTTAACCTGAGGTGGCCAGAGAATGCTATTCTGGCCATATGCCAGCTGCCAGTGCAACTCACAAGATACACACTCTAAACTAATGCTTTGGTGACCTGGGTGGGAGTTTGTTCAGAATGAAGGTGAAGTCATAGAATCATAGAACACTAGAACTGGAAGGTACCTTGAGAGATCATCAAGTCCCAGTCCACTGCCATGGCAGGGCCAAGCAACACCTAAATCATCCCTGATCTCCCTAGGTAATTTATTCCAATGCTTAACCACTCTGACAGTTAGGAAGTTTATCCTAAACCTCCCATGCTGCAATTTAGGCCCGTTGCTTCTTGTCCTATCATCAGAGATTAAGGAGGATAATTTTCTCCCTCCTCCTTTTAGGTACTTAAAAGCTGTTATGTCCTTCTCTTTTCCAAACCAAACAAATCCAATTCTTTCAGTTTTCCCTCATAGGTCATGTTCTCTAGACCTTTAATCATTTTGTTGCTCTTCTCTGGACCCTCTCCAATTAGTCTACATCTTTCCTGAAATGTGATGCCTAGAACTGGATACAATAATCCAGTTGTGGCCTAATCAGTAGAGAGGAAGAATTACTGCTTGTGTCTTGCTCACAACACTCCTGTTAATGCATTCCACACTTTTGACTCCTATTTAGCTTGTGGTCCCCTGTGACCTCTAGATTCCTTTCTGAAGTACTCCTTTCTAAACAGTCACTTCTCATTTTGTATATATGAAACTGATTGTTTCTCCCTATGTGGAGTACTTGGTATTTATCCTTATTGAACTTCATCCTATTTACCTCAGATGATTTTTCCAGATCATTTTGAATTAAGACCTTATCATCTCAAGCACTTACAATCCTACCCAGATTATTGAACTTCATCCTATTTACCTCAGATGATTTTTCCAGATCATTTTGAATTAAGACCTTATCATCTCAAGCACTTACAATCCTACCCAGATTGGTATCACCTGCAAACTTTATAAGTGTACCCCTTTCAAATCTTCTGGAATCTCTCCCATCTGTCATGACTTTTCAAAGATGATGGCTTGTGTTATTTGTTTATATTCATCCTTTGTACTTTGATCTAGTTTCCATTTTTATAGGACTCTTTTTTGATTTTTAGTTCATTCAGGATCTCCTGGTTCAGCCATGGTGGTTTCTTGTCACACATCCTATCTTTTCTATGCAATGGAATGGTGTGCTCTTGTGCCTTTAATAATGTCCCTTAGAAAAACTACCAACTGTCTTTCAATTGTTTTTCCTCTTAGTCTCACTTCCCATGGGACCTTATCTACAAGCTCTCTGAGTTTACTATAGTCTGCCTTCTTGAAATCCATTGTCTTTACTTTGCTGTTCTCCCTTCCACTGTTCCTTAGAATCATGAATGCTATCATTTCATGATCATTTTCACCCAAGCTGCCTTCTGCTATTAAATTCTCACCAAGTTCCTTCCAATTGGTTAAAATCAAATCTAGAACAGCCTCCCCCCATTAGCTTTCTCCACCTTCTGAAATTAAAAAAAAAATCAAGAACTTGTTTGATAATCTGTGCCCTGCTATGTTATTTTTCCAATGGGTATCTGGATAATTCAAGTCCCCCATCACCACCAAGTCCTTTGGATGCTTTTGTTAGCTATTTAAAAAAATCCTCATCTACTTCCTAGTTATGTGGTCTGTGATAGAACCTCCACCATGACATCATCTCTGTTTGTTATCCCTTTTAACCTTACCCAGAAACTCTCAACAAATTTGTCTCCTATGTTCATCTTAACCTCAGGCCAAGTATATATAATTTTCATGTATAAGACAATACCTCTTCCACTTTTCATTCCCACCTATCTTTCCTGAACAAGCTGTACCCTTCTATAGCAATATTCTAATCATGTATATTATCCCACCAAGTCTCTGTGATTCCAACTGTGTCACAGTTGTGTTTTAATAGCATTTCAAATTCTTCCTGCTTATTCCCCATACTTCTCGAATTTGTGTACAGACAACTAAGATACTGATTTGATTTTTCTCCCTAGTTCTGCCTTGTGCCCCCTTTATCCCTGCTATTATAGCTCATGCTTCCCCCGCCCTCCAATTTCTGTCCCATCTCCCAGGTCGTCTTGTTTTTTTACTTATCTGTGGACTTTGGTCATCTGCCCCCTCAAATCTAGTTTAAACCCCTGCTCACTAGGTTAGCCTTATCCACGTGAAGATCTAAGAGCTTATTTTAAAGTACTTTATTTGTACTTCCAAGGAGTGAACCGCAGATCAGGCTGTTCTGACTAGTTGATGCTACTGAATTCTGAAGACTGGCATTGAGAATAAGTGAAATCTATCTTGTTCTTTACAATGGTACACAATTTTACTATGGTATTTATGTGTTTGGTTGTTTCAGTAATTTTTCAATTTACTGTGATACTTTTTAAACTTGTCTCAATCTGTCTTTGCTATTTTGCACATTTGTATATGCAGTAGAATCTCAGAGCTATGAAACGACCAGTCAACCAACATATACCTCATTTGGAACTGGAAATACGCAGCAGCAGAGAAAAAAGAGAGTAAATACAATATAATATTGGGTTAAACATAAATGACTAAAAATATAAAGGGAAAGTTTAGAAAAAGATTTGACAAGATAAGGAAACTGGTTCTGTGCTTGCATAATTTAAAATATGGTTAAAAGCAACATTTTTCTTCTGCATAGTAAAGTTTCAAAGCTGTATTAAGTCAATATTCAGTTGAAAACTTCTGAAAGAATAACCACGATATTTTGTTGAGTCATAAACATTTCAGAATTATGGACAGCCTCTATTCCTGAGCTGTTAGTAATTCTGAGGTTCTACTGTAGCCCTTTTCTATTATTAGGCTCTATGAATCATTTTTATTATTTTACAATTATCTCATGGACACTGCTTTAACTTAAAACAAGACTAGCGATATACTTAAAAGGAGAGACTGGGGAAATTTCCTGTGTCTATAGTGTAAATTGTATGTTAGACTTTAAATTGGCTTAAAATGGATTCAGTTAAACCAGTGCAAACCTCCCAGTGACAAAGAGCAACTACATGCTGCCCTTTCAACAACATGGTGCAGCGACTATCAAGAAATGGACAGTCGTATTGATATTGTATACATATTACAAATGACAGTACACTATTCATAAATGCAGATTACAGCTTGAAAATAACAGTATTATTAAAATTTCATTGTTGACAGCACTTACCTTTACATTGCAAGCCCTGTCTAAAAAGCCCTTTGAGAAGCTTCTTACAGTACTGGCAAACTGTTGGGCGTGTGTAGGAGTGTATAACAAAAGTGTGAGGCACTTTAACCTTGGAAAGTAAAATCTTGTCTAATTGAATAGGTCGTCCAATGTAAGATTGTGAATTTGATCTCTTCTCTCGCCCAATAAATGATTCAGATGGTGTCTTTTGCTGTAAACACACAGAGAAGAATCATTTTAGACACATCTAAGTTAGTCACTGCGTTTTAAAATATTTTCAAACACAAATGCTACAAAAATTTAAAAAAATCTTTAATCTTAAAATGTAATTAGAAATAGCCAAGCAAAAATCAAATATTCACGGAAAATGTATAGGTATAGAAATCCGTAACTTTGAGAAATCATCTGGATTTAAAGTAAATTATGCCAAATCTTAAATGCCAGCTATAATTTTGCCAGAGTCTAAGAAGCTGTTCTTACAGAAAATATATAGGTACAAATAGGCAATGAATTCTATAAGATACCTTGGAATTCTGATCTCAAACACTCTAAAAGAGCTCAATGTTGTAAAATATCAAACCACTACTTCAGCAAATGAGAGAGGATCTGGAGGGCTACGCGAAATATGCAGGTTTCATAGCTGGGAAGAACAGCCACAGTCAACATGAGTATTTTGCCTAGATTTCTTGTTTCAAGATCTTCCTATAATCATCCCAGATTAAATTTTAGCAGGAAAACAGAGATTGACAATAGGATGTATATGGGATAAGAAAATACCAAGAGTGAGTACTGCTAATTGCAGAGCCATATTAAACAAGTGAAGCACCTATTCCAAATATTCTATGCAACTACCAAGCCAGTCAGGTCAAAGCAGTAAGTGGGGGGAGGCAACTGTAGGGAGGGAAGGGGCTCAGGGTCGGGGTTCTCAGTGGACCACCTTGAGTCTCTTGCACACCTGCTCCTGGGTGGCCAGGCTGGCAGCTCTCCTGCCTTAGACGGCCACTTTCCTGTGCCTAGTGCGGAGGTTGTGGATGAGGTCCACGATATCCGCACTAGACCAGGCGGGTGCCCGCCTCTTGCGGTCCCGGGCAAGCTCCCGGGAGCCGCCAGCCTGGTCCTGGGAAGAGAGGGAGGGCTGGGGGGCATCGGGTGGGTGGCTCGATCCGTGCCAGGTGGAGGGTCTGCTAGCTGGGTGCTGGCAGGCTTGCAACTGGCACGGGCACCATAGCCAGCCCGTGCCCCTTTAAGGGGTCCGGGGCCGGAAGGGGGGCAGTAGAGTTTCCCTGGTGTTGGCCAGAGTGGCCACCAGGGAAAGCTGGGGAGGGCTAGCCTCCCACTAGTTCGAATTAAGGGTCTACACAGCCCTTAATTTGAACTAGTAAGTTCGAACTAGGCTTAGTCCTCGTAGAATGAGGTTTACCTAGTTCGAACTAAGCGCTCCGCTAGTTCGAATTAAGTTCGAACTAGCGGAGCACTAGTGTAGCACCTATCAAAGTTAATTCGAACTAACTTCCGTTAGTTCGAATTAACTTTGTAGTGTAGACATACCCCTAGGGCACATCTACACTGCAGGCCAAAACTCGAATTAAGTTACATAACTTCAGCTAAGGCAATTGCATAACTGAAATTGAAATAGCTTAATTCAGCTTTTGGCACTGTCTACACAGCAGGCAGTCAAAGGAAGAACGCTCTTCTTTCAACTTCCCTTACTCCTCGTGAAATGAGGGCTACAGAAGTCAGAGTAAGAAGTCCTCCACTTTGAAATTATTTTTAAATAATGGCTTGCTGTGTAGACGCGCACTCTGTTATTTTGAAATAATGCTGAAGTGTAGATGCGCTCCCAGAAGAGGCCAATTAAAAAACAATAAATATATTTTCCTGCAATCTTTGCTGACAAGTTTTCCAACAGTCTGGGAACAAAATGTGGATTTTGATAAATTATCCCAGGGATGTGAGGGTTTGATTTGAAAATGGGACCAGCAATCTAGTATATAGCACAACACATGCTTTATTAAATATAAGACTATCTGCATATACGGTTGACAAGTTCAGTCATTAAAGAATACTGGAGTGTAATTATTGGATATTTGTTAGCAACCGATCTATTGGTAATCCTCTTTAGGCAGAAGGGATGAGGCCAGTAGCTCCAGGGCCTGGCAATTTAAATAGCACATCATCTAGAAACCAGGGCCCTGTAAAAATTTCCACCAGAGCCCTGCACAGTGCTGTCTGACTTGCACTAAGAGCTTAATTCAGCTTTTGGCATAGCAAGCTCCAGGCAGTGCTGAGGGAGGGTTGCTTCTAACCCCGCCACTTCTGCATGAGGCCTCACCACCATTTTCTGGGGCTGCCTAGCAGAAATGGTCACACAAAAGGAACTGAAGAATTAATCTTTTTTCTGCTTGTAGTTGCTAGGCTTCTCTATACGAAAGCTAATTGTTGCAATGATTATTGTTTTTGCCTCTGGTATATACAAGGTTAAGATTTGTAAATCTGTTAAAACTTCCTAAATGGGTTCTAAATAAAGACAATCAATAGAATAATAAAATGTACAGTAAGCAAGCTACCTACTCATACTGGAGAACACTTTCCATAAACTAGAATAGTATCAAACGCTATCCTTCCCAAAACTTGGGGCATATATTTCATGACAAGAGCTGGTTAAAATACAGTAAAAGCCTAGTTTTTCATTACAAATGGCTTTTTGGCCAAATGTTCCTGGAAATGCTTATAAATGTTTATTCAAAAACATTTTGGCTCTTTAGCAAGATATCATAATCCTAAAAAATAATTTTTTAAAAAAAATCAGTAATATTTTCAATGTTCAATAATTTTTTAAAACCTAAAACTGCCTTTGAAAACCAATTTTAGTGAAAAACTGAGAATACAAAAAAATGAAAAAGAAAAACAAACTCAGATTTTTTCCTTTTTTATTTTAGAATTTCCATGAAAAAACTAATTGACATTTTTCAATTAGCTCTACTTATCAATCTTTATATAATCAAACTAGCCACTCCCAAATGATCCATTGGGGCCCACAATGGCAGTCAGTAGAAAAACCTGGAAAAAAGATGTGGCCTATATTCTCCTCTACAAGTGTTTAGACATTTATACGATCAGATCACATTTTACAGCCAAAGATCTGACATGAGAGAACTGCTTTGCTCCCTGCTTACGTAAACGTCTTCCTATGACATGACAGACAGCTGAAGCATATCCACAGATACCAGTTTAAGGAGAGCAGTAGAAATGGGATCTACTTAATTAGGTTAGATAATTTAAGACTTAGCAGAGAGTAACAAGCACCTGGTGTAACAAGCTGTCCAACCTAAAAGACAGGCACTTGTATGTTGTACTAGCTAGGGGAAGGGAAAGCTATAAGCTGGAGGCAGTTTGCCAGGATTAGCTCCTGGTGAGCTGCTGGTGCTTTATTTACCTGTGCATCCACAGGTATGGCATTTACATTTATGGCTGTGGTTTGTTGTTCCTAGCCAATGGGAGCTGTGGGAAGTGATGCAGACTGGAACACTGCTTCCCGCGGGTCCCCATGGGCCAGGAATGGCAATCTGTGGCCAACGAAACCTGCGAGCAGCAATACCTGCGAGATGCATGGGTAAATAAAGTGATGGCAGCCCATGGGAGCTAACCCTGGAGAACCATGTCCAGCCAGCAGGCTGTTTATTGATTCCCTTACTAACTGAAGCCTCAGATTGGCCTTCAAACTTATCTTCACATTTAGCTTGTCATAACTGTCTATCCTCAAAGAAAAGAGAATACAGACTGCTATAGTAAGGTCTGTATCTGAGAGGACTCCATGCAATCTGCTGGCCAGCAAAAGTACTCTCTTTTTTTTATCTTGCTATTTGAGAATGCAGGAGCACACTGGAGTCTATCGCACCTTGAGCTAGAAAGCCCCCCTTACAGGGGGCAGCTGATCAGTTGCCAATGTTTTCCCTACTGTGTATCTTCAATGCAGATCCCTCTGCCAAGAAGCATCACATTCCTCCAAAAGCTTGCTAGGTTCCATGCTGTGAGCAGCATTCATTTCTTTTGAATATTCACTCCTGAGAAATCTGCTCGTTTCCCAAGCCATATGTGTGGTCTGGAGCTGCTAATTGCTAGATCTATCCCTTTAGCAGGCCACGATCCTGAAATTCATCTGAAACCTCAACTGTACCTTGTTTGTGCACTCTTGTCATGCACGGTTCCAGTTTTTTCCTAATTTATGACTCAGCTACCCATGACCATCATACACTTGCTCCATGGAGTATAGCACACAGAAGCATTTGATCCTTCCATTACAGACAGAAATCAAGTTTTATCCTATGGAACTGCATAGTTTTACAATGCAGTTTCAAGTAAATAATCTGCTATTTATCCTTTCTTTCCTGAGCTTCGGAATTCACGTAAGGAAACAGCTCACATATAAAAATCAGATCACAGTTTAGAGTTACATGTATTTATTCTTTTCAGTCAATAGTGTGAGTCGCTTAATATTTTCCAGAAAGTTTCACATTGTTACCAGGCCAGGCCAGGTCAGTGTTGTCAGTCCAGCCCATGGTGGGATGCTGGTGTTACCCAAGGAGCCTGAGCTGCTGGACAGGAAGCAGCATGGTGAGCGAGTGCTGAACAGCCTCAACTCTGACCAGCTGCCTTGCCCAAGGCACTGGCTGCTGGCCACTGCCCCAGAGCATGCTGTACCCCTCAAAGCTGCCCAAGCCAGATGCTGGAAATGAGCAGGCATGGGTGGATTAGGTCCACTATCCACAGAAATAGTCTGTGGCTACCCATAGATATGAAGTGGAGATCAGCAGATTTGCAGAGCTCTTCCTGACAACACTTTGCTCATTGCTTTCCCTCCACAATGAAGAGATGTAAAAGTGAACTGGCTGCTCAGCGAATAGGATAAAGACCTCTAACAAGAAGAAACTGTATCTCTATGCTGCTTGGACACTCAAGGGGAAGGTTTCCAGACATAAGCAAAAGATTCCCAGTCTTAGCCAACATTAGCCCTACAGGACATATATAGTAGGGTGGCCAAACTGGCTCGTAAGCCACATTAGCTCTTTGACAGTTAAAAGTGTGGCTCTTGAAGCCTCCCCACCCTCCCGCATCCCTTACCAGGGGGCAGAAGGAAGAACTCAGGACCTCTGCTTTGCAGTAGGGTGGTGGGGTCTGGGTTTCTGCCCAGTGGCAGGGGGAAGATTCTCA